CACTTCATCACCAATTTCAGCATCATCCATGTAGAAATCGGACACGTCAAATTTAGGCAAAATTGGATTGATATCATCAGCATAATTAGCTTCCACATTTTTCCCTTTTCCTTTTGTGGAAGCTTGGTATAATTTAACCAAATGTTTTGCCGTTCGACATTCATTCGCCCAGTGTCCTTTTATGCCACATTTGTAGCATTCACCACTTGGTTTTGGCTTTTTATGAGTTTTAGCCTGTGGTGGTTTGAATTTTCCTTTTCCTTTGAAGGATGATCCATTTGGATTTTTATAGCCCCCATGTGTCCCTTTGTTGTGGTTATTTCCGCGTCCACGTTTAAAGTGTCCGCGTGCACTACCTTGGATAACATTTGATTCTGGTGCTGAACCACGATCAGGATGACCAAAATTTGTAGGGGTACAACCGGTAGGCCTCATGTTATGATTTTTCATCAACAGCTCATTATTCTGCTCAGCAACAAGTAATACTGAGATTAACTCAGAATACTTTTTAAAGCCCCTTTCTCTATATTGTTACTGTAATATCACATTTGACATATGCATGGTGGAAAAAGTTTTCTCCAACATGTCATGATCGGTGATATTATGTCCACATAATTTTAATGTGGACGTGACTTTAAAAATAGCAGAATTATAGTCACAAACAGACTTAAAATCTTGGAATCTTAAATTGATCCATTCGTATTGAGCTCTTGGCAATAGGACTTTTTGTTGATGTCCATATCTCTCTTGGAGATTATCCCATAATTCCTTCGGATCTTCCACCAATAAATATTCAGATTTTAAACTTTCATGAAGATGGTGGCGAAGGAAAATTATGGCTTTTGCCTTTTGCTAAGATGATGATGTATTATTCTCAGCAATTGTATTTTCGAGGCCATTAGCCTTAAGGTGAGCAAGTGCATCAACCCTCCATTCCAGGTACCTTTGACCGGATAAATCAAGAATGTCGAATTCTCTTTTGGTGATGTTGGCCATGGAATAACTATAACATATTAAATTAAATTCATTAGTTTTTTTTTTAATAATCGTAATTTTTTTTTTGTGAACAATGTCATGATTATATATATAAACAAAATCAAAATGATTACACACACACACATATTCAATACCAAAAAGAAAAAGATAAAACAATTTCAATTATGTGTAATAATTTTTACTCTTTCATTTAAAATTAAAAGAAAAACATACTTCCTCCACTAGTGGTGAGTACGAAAAGAAGACACTCCCTCAAGAATGTTCAAAAACAAAAGGAAAAACACAAATTAGAGACAAATTAGTGCTGATGCCATGTGAAGAAAAAATATGATGGAGAAGAAAAATAATAATAATACTCCGTAGTATGTTCCTTCAACCTTTTATTGGAGTCTTAAAATCATTCCCCTCTTTCTCTCTCTTAAGCATATACTCCGTAGAAAAAAAATTATATGCAACAAGAAGAAAACACTACTAGAAAGTTTCAAGTAATAAATTTTAAGAAAGTTATATGCNTAATTTATCTAATTTTATTTTTTATAACTATAAGTTTCTGATGTGAAGGATCCCAACTTTGGGCAATCACAGAGCATACTTCTCATAGTTTTTAAGAAAATATTTTAGTTTGTTTATGAAGAAAATAAAATAAATATACCTTCTGAGAAGAACAAGGTTTCTGGGATTTTGAGCAAACTCGTGCTGATAACGTGTTATAAAATGAGAGAAAAACTATTCAGATATTATGAGAATAGATATAATATATTTCTGATTTCTTCTCTCTATTAACTTCTCACTCTTCTTCTTATTCTTAATTGTGATTACAATGCAGGGATTAAGCCTCTATTTATAGTGGAGAGGCTTAGTATGAATACAAATACAAGTGGGATGGACTGTACTAAATTGATACTCATCAATGAGTGTCTTAATCTACTATTCTAGAAATTAGGCCTGATTAATTGAATAAATGAACAATCGTTAATTTCATAACAATTAAAAAATTTAAAAAAGAAAACGAGGAATGTAAGAAAAGAGGGTAGTGCTCGGATCCCAATGTGTGTCCACTAGTTCCCAAGTGCACACCAAGGAAAACACTGGTACACACAAACATTCATATCAATTAATGCATGCACAAACATTGAGTGTCTGTGTGTATTTGTATTTGTCTTGTACTTGTTATCATTGGCAGATGTAGTATGTAGGAGTTGGGGGCATATGTGATATGCCCCATACTAAATTTTGATAATAAGGTAAAAATATTTATTTCAATTTGTTTTTGTGTATGTGTCCCCAACAAAAATTAATGTAACTACATCTATTCAGGTTAATTTTAATTCTTTGTTTAATTCTGTTAGCACTTAGCAAAATATATTCTATTGCAAATAACAAATTATTTATGTAACAAAATTTCACATTGTCTATTAAAAAATATTTTACATTCAATAAATATTTAAAATAAAATTTATTTTTTTGGTCATATCATGTACCCTATTAAAAAATCAGGGACGCTGCCCTTGGACCCTTTAGCACGCCCTCATGCTTGGCAAACAGGCACTGGTAGGTTTGGGCGTGATCCACCAATCTCTCCTCCATCTTCTCCGCCGCCTGCCAGGCTGCAACTACCTCCTTCCGGGCTTCGACCATCATGGCCTCCATCCAGAGCTTCTCGTCCGTTTCAGACTTGACCAACCGGGTAGTCCATTCCTGCCCGATCTGGCCGACCTGCTTTAAAAAGAAAAGAAACTTCCAGAAAAAAATTTGGTAAAAAAAATTCAAAGGAGTAGAATTGATGCTTACCTCGCTCCGATCGATGCAGAAGGCGTCGAATAATTTGACGTTTGACCGGGACATCAGGGTCATGTCTAGGAGCTCGCCCTTGCCCTTGCCGGCCTTTGGAGGACTGGCAAAAATGCTGGCTCCTTTTGTCCATCGCCTTTTCTTTTGCAGCCCCTCCTCTGCAGATTCCTCTTGACTGGCCACATCCGGTTGTTTGGAGCCCTGACCGGCCCCGGAGGCATGACCGGCCTTAGAAAGCATCCCCTCGAACTCCAGGGTCTCCAAATTAACAAAGACAACCCCGGAGTGGAGGGGGATTGAAGTGCCTTGTGACTGAGCTGGCTGCTCTCCAATTGGTTGAGGTTTCCCAGTTGAGGTCACCACGGCCTGCTCGACCTTGGGAACGGGAAACTTCAAGTTGAACTTCACCACTGCACAAAAAGAACACATGGTAAGTAAACATTGAAAAGACCCAAACCAGTCATAAATACACCGAAGGAAAAGAAAATGGACCTTTTTCCTTTTTTCCCCAGTGAGGGGGATTTCTGGTAGAGGAGCTGAGGGCCCGACCAAGGCGGGATCGCCACCAGGATCTCGTCCCCTCAAATCATGACAGCCTCAAGATCAGACGCTAGCCCGGGGTAGACACTCCACTTCCCCACGTTGAAGGGACCGCAGGTGGAAATATCACCGGCTCGGAGTGAGGCTTCCCAGCTAGCTAGATCATCGGAGGGGCTAGGTTTGACATGGATTTTGAGCCTTTCCCCCTAGACGTTCCTAGCAAAGGGGAATTCGCCGGGAGGAAAGGTAATCGAGACATATTTTTCTTTCCACCCCTTGTTTGAAGGGGGTAGACCGGAAAGAAAAGCCCGGCCCTAATGGGAGCGAGGACACTACGACAAATCCAAGGGTTTCCTTGGATCCGGGCCGGACGTCAAACATGTGATTGAAAAGACAGGGGGGAAGAGGGATGCGAAGGAAACGGCAGACGTTGATGAAACTACTCAGAATACGATGGCCGTTGGGGGCCAACTGGCCGAGCATAATACCTTACGACTCGAAGAAATATACTTTGAAGGGATGGAGGGCGAATTCACCTAGGTCCTTGATGGAATGGTAATGGACCCTTAGGGTTAATCTAGAGTGCAAAGAGATGATGCTTTTCGAGGTAGCCTTATAAGATAATATGTAACCTTCCGGTAGGAGGTTACGGAGCTCATGGACCTGGTTTTTTTGTAGAGGAGAGGAGCTCTTGAAGCTGCCAATCATCTAGCCAGACGTAGCCCTCCTCACGGGTCTGGGCTACAGTGACCATCTTGGCCGTAGAAGAAGAAGAAGGGGCGGAAGTGGAAGAATTAACCGACTTCACCAGTTTAGGAGAAGTCGGGCGCTCACTTGACTCAGAACGGGTGGAAGAAGAATGGGAACCAAAAGCATGAGACTGGGTGCCAGAACCGTAAGAATGAACAGAAGCTTTCTGGCTATCCTCGTTCTTAGACATGGTGGAAGAAAAGGGCGAAAAAAGGATAGGATAAAGGACTTACTTGGGACTCGGAGGACTGGTTAAAAGTTGGTTCGGCCGGGCATTTTTTTTAAGAGATGAAATGCAAGTGACAAAAATGTGGGAAAACCTCGGTTTATATAGGCAACATGCCGCCCCTGAGGACCACTAGGAAAATCACACCTGGCAGATGTTATAATTAGCAATGATGGCTTCAGGAGAAGTGGAAATGACACGACAGCTGGGCGGCGACGTACCGGATTTCTGTAAAATCATTCCTGCCTACCATGCTCGGGGAATTCAAAATTCAAAAGTATTCAAACATTTGATTCTCGCCCTTCATGGTACCCACAAAGCCGGGAATCGGAAGACTCCTTGATGGGTATAACCCACTGGTACCACCCGGCAAGTTTGCAGGTGCCGGAGGGTACCAAGTTTTGACAAAGCTTGACCTCATCCTCCCCAGCGATCTGACTGGGAGGATGTCGGTGGGCTAGACCGGTAAGATCGTGACTTGATGCGCAGAGGGCTTGAAGACTTGCCGGGTATTCGCATTGACTGAGCACTGGTCTACTTGGTTCTGACAAGCCCAAGTGGATGATTTGATGTGAGCAGTAGTCATAAACAACGTATTTTCTGTTATTATAGATAGGAATAAAAGCCTCATAAAGAAAGGCAAGCAATAAATAATCTACACGGCTCCTACTTTGTAATCGATTCACATATTATAAATAACAAACCAGGTTATAGGTATTTCCACCTACAACCTTTCCACTTTCCTTGACCTAATACTACGTAGGTTTAACACCATTATGAGGGAGAGAGTAGTACTATTAGGGCTGTCAACGGATAGGCGAAAATCTGATTACCGTCCGCATCCGTATCCGTTTAAAGAGGAAATATCCGCATTCGTTTTAAACGGATATTATCCGTATCCGATTAAGGATATCCGATTGCTAAATAGATACGGATTTGGTAATTGTATATCCGATCCGTTTAAAATCCGATCCGAATATGCATCCGTTTAAATAACCGTTTATCCAAATATCTGATTCGTTATATATCGTTTTTCATAATTTTTTTATGTTTATATTTTGTTTCTCTATTGATATTTTAAAATATAAGACATTTTTGTATACAGAATAAATGTTTAGACACATAAAAATATGTGCAGACATTTAAAAATATGTGTATTGTATATATCTTTTTATCAAATGAAGTTATCGTAGAATATCATAAATCATGAAAACAAAGAAAATTATTATCCCATAACAAATTATAGTTGATTTAATAATATTTTGACTTCAATCCAATTTAAAATTAAAGTATTGTTTAATTTGATTTTAAAAATTGGAAACGGATACGGATATATACGATATCCGACCGATATCCGACGGATGCGGATACGGTTTTGATTTTCAGTATCCGTCAAGATCCGTATCCGAATTCGATATCCGACAAAAATAAACGGATACGGATTTGGTAATGACACATCCGATCCGATTAATATCCGTTTACACCCCTAAGTATTACTCTCTCCGTTCTCAAAAACTCTTCCTCTTTCATTTTTTTTACTTCCAACAAAACACTTCCACTTTCTATTAAAAACTCACTTTTACCCTTACTTTTTCATACCCTACCTATTACATCATACTTTTTCTCTAATAATTTATCCATCACATCTTACATTTACCAATCACATCAAGGACAAAATTGGAAGTCAACTATAATTTAACACTTGTTTATTTTTACACATAGTCAAAATAGGAACATTTTTATAAAAGAGAGGGAGTATAAGTCTATAAATAGCCTAGGTTCATTTCTTGGATTTGCCATATTGCATATCTACCAATTTAACTCATATTTTCTTGGGTAGGTAGTTAGGTACTACATACGTAGTCCGTTTGGCGACAAGCAATTGCGTTATTTTTCTCTATGGATTCGCAGCTGACAATAAGCTCCTCCTCCTCCACCTCCTCCACTGATCTCCCCCAACACCAAGAGAGCCTAAAGATCTCCAAAAGTTTCCTTTGGCCGGAACAAGATCTTGCACCCGCCCACGAAGAGCTCAACGAGCCCGTAATCGACCTCGAGAGCTACTACGCAGGCGGCGACCAGGCTGAAGCCGCCTGCGAGCTCGTCCGCGCAGCCTGTGCCAGCCACGGACTATTCCAAGTGGTCAACCACGGCGTTGACCTCGACCTCATCCGCCAGGCCCGTGATTGCTCTGTGGCCTTCTTCAAGCTCCCGGCAGCCGAGAAGTTCAAGGCGGAGAAGCGACACGGGAGCTTGTGCGGCTACTCGAGCGCCAACGCGGAACGCTTCACTTCGCGGCTGCCGTGGAAAGAGACGTTGACGCTGCTGGGGTTCCGTGAGAGATGTGGAGATCGGGCGGCCGTTGATTTCTTCACGTCTTCATTTGGACCGAGTTATGAGAATGTTGGGTATGTATTAACATTAACATACACTATATTATACTCCTTCCGTCCCACAAAAAAGTTTCCATTTTGATGTATTTTTGGTCACCATAAATTAAATACCAGAGTATAATCTAAATAAAGAAATGCTAAAAAAATTTTAGATATCAAAACTAGATCCTAAGATGAATCCAATTATATTAAATTTATTTTAAAATTCAATATACCTTTCTCACAATTTATAGTCAAAGCGTGTAAATAATTGACTAAATACTATTTAAAATGGGAACTTTTTTGTGGGACAGAGGGAGTATTACTTACTTCATACTCGTTTGCATATATATTCTCCATTTTTCCTAAAAAAGAAAAAAGTATAAGGTCGCGTTTAATTAGTGGGAGGGGAAAGAATGGGTAATGGTTATGTAGAAGAAGGGAAAGTGGAGAATGGTTTAGAGGAAGGTAAGGAAAAGAAGAGGGAGAAGGGGATGGTGGAAAGAAGAAGCGCAAGGAAAAAGGGAAGGGTAAAGGAAAAAGAGGAAATGGAAAGGAAAAAGAAAGAGAGAAGGAGAGAGAAAAAAGAAAAGAAAAGAAAAAAGGAAAAGAAATTGAATAAATTCTTTTATAATTGAATACTAGTAATTATTTACAATCATTGATTTCTTTATTTTATCTGATTTTTTGGTAGTACGGAGTATATATTTAAAAAATTAAGATACACTTTGTAAAACAAATAATTTGTTGTTAATTTTAGGACTTTTTATTACTCAAGTTTTATAAAATTACGTTTATGACATTTATTTTCTTAATAAAATTAGTGAAATTTGCACTGAATATGATTAAAACATAAAATTAAGATCTATTCCCTCTATATTGTATCTTTACTATTTAAATGGTCAAACTTTATTTAATTTTTTTGCTACATATTTGATAAAATAATATTGTCATGTCGTCTCCACTCTTTTTGAAATCCCGCCCTAATATTCAAATAAATTAAATTAAAAGTAACTTCAGTCAATGCAAAAATCGTAAATCGAAACAAACAATATAAATTGGAACGAAGAAAGTATAAATCTATTTTTTTTTGTAAAATAAATCATTTTGACCATTTATTTTAAAGATTGTAGAGATAAAAAATTTATAGCATGAGAGATCCACCATCTAAATTGAAAGAAGGAAAGATAGGGGAAACTCGAAAGTGGTGAGAAGGGAAAGTTATATCGTATACGATGATACCAAGTAAGAAATAAGAGAAAAGAGAGAGTGAGAAGAAAGACTAAAGTTGGAACGCAACATTTTTATCCCTTATAAAAAATCTAAAAATCACCCTAAATAAGTCTAAAACATAGAAAAAGTATCAAAATAGAAGTTCCATGTTTTTATTCATGATATATGAGTTTGCACTGTAGTAATGTGGCAGTAATGTAGCACTGTACAGGTAGGTGCACATTACTATACTTTTTGGTAATATACATGACAACATTTCGTTAGGGGTGGACAGGTACGGTTCCGGTTTGGTTCTGGTTCCAGAACTGGCGGTTCCAGTGCCGCCACCCCGGGGAACTGCTACTTCTACCGTCCCAACCGATACCGGCGCCAGAACTAGTACCGGCGGTTCCACACTGTACCGGCCGGTTTCCGCCACCTTATATTTTTTTAAAAATTTATAAAAGTACAAGTATTAAAGGAAATAATGAAATAAAATATCTAAAAATGTAGTTGTTATTTAAAGATTGAAAAATGAGTAATACACGAACAACTACATTTAATATCCTGATAGTTAAAAAAAGCGACGATGTAAAGAACCGTAAAGAAACCCTCGAAGGAGCTCATATATCGCTCACCTAAAAAAACTACTTACATTAATATAAAAAAAGTTTATAACTTATTCTTTGAAACTAGGGCTTTCGTCTGTGGTTGCATATATGTAATGTTCGACATTAATGTTGTACCCTGACTCTTGAGCTTGATGCCTTGCCAAGAGCCAATCTCGGTTGCAAGCAAGTTTCTCAAGCAATTCAACGGTAAGACAATTTCGGTAGTCGGTTAGAATGTTGCCACTAGAACGGAATTCTTGTTCCATAGCTACAGTTGAAAGCGGGACGGATAAAACTTGTCTTGCTAGCATTCCGAGAGTCGTTCCGCTTCCACCATTTGAGGATGTCAAAGTCCACGTCTTCATCGTCGTCGTAATCGCATGGCACCCCTTGGTACATAGCAAGTTTGTTGTGTGACCTTACAGTTGTACCACCTGAACTCGTCGAAACATGACCACGCTTACCTTTTTATCCAAAAGGCCACCGGCTATCCCTTTAAAACCTTTTTTTTCTTTGGGAGGCAGAGGAGGTGTTGTTTCTTCCCGTGCATTACCGTAAATTTCTTGAAATTTTTTAAATAAAACCTCAAAAATATCAATAGCATTATCTCTTTCTTTTGTCCATTCTATTAAATGATTGTAGTAATAATTATTTTCATCTAATAAACAAGTGTAGTAATACTCAATCAGAATTTGAAAATTTTCAATCTTAAAGCGAGGATCACAAATAATACCAATTTGATAAATATCAGGAATATACAAATAATAATAACACCATTTATCCCTCATAGGAGTTACATAGGGGTACAACAATGGATCAGATAAGCTTTCACAAAAACATGTTGTAATATTTGTAACACATTCTTTAAAAAATCTG